TGTTGAGCTGGCTCATAACCTCGGTAGCTGCACTGATTGTGGGGCTGTGCCACGGGCATGACTTCTCCTGGAGTGGATGTTTGGCATTCTTTGGGCAGCAGCTCCTGCGGGATGCCACAAACTGACTCACGGTGAGCTCAGCCCAGAGAGCCCATCCCCTGCTGTGATTGTGCTGCAGGAAATAAACAAGATGACAGCCTAATCGATCACATCTTTGGCCTGAGAACTGGGGCACCCCAGCAAGAAAGAGTGGCAGAAATGGACTTGCTGTTTGTTGCTCCATTGCCCCATCCCTTTGCCAGAAGGGAACAGAAAATCCAACGTGCAAAAAATCAAAATGAGGTTTGTGAAATCATCCGGGGTGTGAGCTTGGGAGCTGGAGCTTTTGCATATTCTTCTGTGGAAATGAAGGGTGTTCAAAGTGCTCTGGGGATGAGCTGTGCACAGTGGAGTCAGAGAATCCCTGTGTGTGCTGAGCACGGGGTGCTGGTCACTCACAGCAGCTGGAGAGGAGACTGACTGACTGACTGACTGACTGGCTGCTGCTCCCTGGTCCCGCCTGCCTCTCCTCCAGAGGGATGTGTGGCCCTTGTCACCTGGCTGTGGGATAATAGGTCCCTGTGCTTGGAGGAAGTGAACAAACAGCTTGCTGGTGATAACTCTGTGACTGCTTTCTGCCTTCAGTGTCCAGCAGGAGGGATTTTCCTGCGAGGCACAGCCCCCTGGAGGTACCAGGGAGGTAAACGAGGTCATCCTCTGAAACCCGCTAAGGCTTCTAATTTTACACAGCCTCCAGTGCCCGGGAGGCAGAGGCATATTCAATTTACATTAATAAGCAAGTCTTGGTTATTCATCAGAATAAATGCTTTTGAGTGTTAAGAATAGCTCCTGTCTTAGCGCTTCCTCCTATTGTTGCAGCCCTTCCTTGAGCAGTGGAAATGTTTTGGGTGATTTAAATTACATTTACAGTAGTAATTAGGTGTAAGCAACTTTACAGTTGACTTATCTGAATATACATCTGTGTCTAAAGAGAGTAGGACTTTTTTTCCCCCCTACCCCACCTCCTTGATTCTCCCAAGGCAGGACATTTTCAAACAGGGTGGGCAGCTGGACATACTGATATTTATTAATATTGATTATTGATCCTACAGCTCCCTGGGCATTCTCCCAAGGCAGGACATTTTCAAACAGTGTAGACAGCTGGAGATACTGATATTTATTGATGTTAACTATTGATCCTCCTGCTCCCTGGGCATCCTCCCAGCAGGATGACAGATTAGCTCTTGTCTCACGCAGTAAAGTCATGAGTGGAAACACTTTGTAGGGCCTGAGTGTTGCTGTTTCTTGGCAGCTCTTTTCCTGTGAGGTGCTGGAGCTGCTCCCAGCTCAGGCAGAGCAGAACCAGATGTGTGTCAGGCCCAGCTGCTGGAGCTGTTTCCTTACCCAGACCTGGCTGCAGCTCACTCTGAGCTCCAGGCCACAGCCTGGCTGCTGCTCCCTGCCAGACTGGCAGCAAGCTGGGGCTTGGATAATCTCACTGATTTAGCGACTCCAGAAACTGGAATAATCTCTTAATCTCACTGAGTCTGTGCGATGGATAGGTAGCACCTCTTGAGGATTTCCTTATGTGGTGGATTGAGCAGGGATAAATGATTTTCAGGTTTTCCTAATGCTATGCACCCTCAAAATAAACCTGAGAAAAAAAGAATTGAAGAAGTTTTCCCACTCCACACTGCAGTGTGTCACTTGCATTCATTTCTCAGGGTAACAAACTGGTTTTGGGGTGCTTGAAAAATGTAAAGCTGCCATAAGATCTTGCAATGCAGCCCCTGGATGTTTATTCCAGCTGACCTGAAGGCTCTGATGCCCAGCTCTGCCAGGCAGCTCTCCCAAACTGCAGAGAGTTCCTCCAGTCTTTAGGTCTGCTGAAATTCCTGACTATCCAAAAGCATGTCGGATGTTTTCCCACCTCCTTTTGATCCTGAAAAAGTCAGGCCAAGTCATGTCAGCTTGGCAGGATGTGAGGATACCTTCAGAAATAACTCGTGCACTAAAGTGGTGACGGTTACAGCGCTGGGTCTGTTCCCATGATTCATTTGAACTAATTGGCTGCTGAGAGCATCATATGTCTCTTTGTCTCCATATTTGAGTAAGATTCAGCTCCTGTGATCCAGATAATCTTATCCTAGTGAGCTTGTCTCATCTCTAATGATGCCAGGAAGACTGTCCTGGAACATGAAACATGCTGGAGAGCTCAAACCCAGAGCTGGAATATTTATCCTGATTCACTCTGAAAAAGCAGACTCAGCTGGACTCCATTCCTCCACCTTTTTTTTCTCACAAGCACGATCTAGGAGATAAACTCACTGATTACTCCTCTCAAACGCCATGAATAACTGAAGGGCAGACAGGAGTGGAGATGTGAAAGGCTGTAGTGCAGCTGTGATTATCCACAGAGATCAGAAACTTTCAGCAGTGCTGTGTACTCTTTGTGTGAGTAATCAAAGCTGAATGTACTCTTAAAGAATTCTGTCTTCATCTGGATGCTTTAAATTTGCTCAGTTGTGCAACAAGCCTGGCTGAGTTATTACTACTGCATGAGAAACCTGAGGATGAAACTGCCTGGTACGAGTGTCTGGCAGGCTCTGGCTGTAAATTGACCCATTAAAAACCATGATCAGCCAGCTGCTGGAGTTATTAAAAGACATTTAATGACAAGGGACACCACTGAGGGACAAAAGAAATAAAGTTATGGGCTGTGGTGCCCGTCTATTTGCAATGCTGGCAGGAGAAGGAATGGCCTGGAACCCAACCCCTTGTTTCAGGGCAAGGTGTGCTCGGTGGGGAGTGGTTTGGAAAGGCTGAGTGTTCCCTGGGGAGAACAAAACGCTTTTCCAATTTTGTAAAAACAGAAAGCAAAGAGCAGCCACGTTTTCTCTTGCAGATGTTTCTGTTGTCATCCCTCCTTGCTCTCCCCTGCCATGTCTCACATCCTGAGCAGTGTGTGTGGTCACACATGATGGTGACACTTCTGCAGGAACTGCGGTCTGTGTAGCTGCAAAAAAGGATGAAAAAAAAATTCTTTGATTTGCTTTCTGTGGGTTCCTACAATTTCACAAGTGGGTGAATTTTTATGATGGATAGTAGGAAGGAATTGCTCCCTGTGAGGGTGAGGAGACCCTGGCACAGGGCGCCCAGAGCAGCTGTGGCTGCCCCTGGATCCCTGGCAGGGCCCAAGGCCAGGCTGGACAGGGCTGGGAGCACCCTGGGATGGTGGAAGGTGTCCCTGCCATGGCAGGGGTGGCACTGGGTGGTCCTGAAGGTCCCTTCCAAACCACTCTGTGCTCCCTGCCTGTGTGTGATTCTGTGCTGCTGTAAAAGCTGTGGTCTCTGGGTTTTGGTTAGAACTGAACTGCACAAGCTGCCACTTTCTGTGGCTAATCTTTGGGGCTGGTGTAGGAGGAGCTATGTGGATAAACCTGAGTTTTGAATTACGGGTGGAGGAATAAATTTTACAGGAATTGTGGGTAAGGAGGAAAAGAGAGGAAATTCCCATGAATAGTTTTGCATAGTTGATGTGGGGAGTTGTAAATGTCCCGGACCAAGAACGTTCCCTATGTCTGAAGCTGGGGAGTGAGGCAGTGTTCCTTCAGCAGCAGGGTGAGCTCCAGCAGTGGTTGGGAAAATAGTTGTGTAAGTAGGAACAAAACCAAGATGGGCTCTTTTATGATGAGGGATTGTCTCTAAAATAACTTTTGGAGGCAAAGCAGGCTGAGCTACAGACCCAGCCTTACTGGGAATATGGCAAACACAGAGTGGGATTGCTCCTTGTGCTGGATGAGCTCTGTGTGCTCTCACTAAAAAACTTAAATAAGTTACTTATCCTTTTAACTTTGGGATTCTGAATAAAAAATGCTAGAAGACAGGAGAGTTACTGAAATACCATAGAGAGAATAACAAGGAAAGAGCAAAACCTGTTAGGAGCGGCTCCAGGGCATCCGATTGCTTTAACCCTTTGCTAACTTGTGTGTCGCAGACATTTTTTATGAAAATTCCTTTCCTTAGGATTTTTCCTCCTGAGAAGCTGACAGGCCTCAGGAACAAAATGTAAATATTGATTATCTGCTGCTGTGGAATGCAACAGGTGCGTCTGTGATTGGTCTTATGGGGTTGTTTCTAATTAATGGCCAATCACAGTGAGCTGGCTCAGACAGAGAGTCCAAGACGAAACCTTTGTTATCATTCTTTCTTTTTCTATTCTTAGCCAGCCTTCTGATGAAATCCTTTTTTCTATTCTTTTAGTCTAGTTTTAATGTAATATATATCATAAAATAATACATCAAGCCTTCTGAAACACGAAGTCAGATCCTCGTCTCTTCCCTCAACCTGAGACCCCTGTGAATGCCGTGACAAGTGTGCATTGCTTGTTGATGAGATTTTTAAAGAATAATCTGGATCTTGCAAAATATTCTCTGTGGGTGTTACGAGTTTACACTGCTCTTTCAACACCAGTGTCTTACATCCAGCTGGGCTTTGCTCACTGCTCGACTATGGCAAGAAACGCTGAATTGCCTCTTTAATTGGCACTCAGGTTTTTTTTTTCCCTGCCCTCCCCACGTCCTCAGGCAGATATTTTGTTCTTTTCTTGATGTTCTCTTCAAGTACAACACAAAGAAGCGAATACACTGCTTGACTCCTCCTCCCCAGGCTGCGTTGGGAGTTCCTTTTTCGCGTGGGCTGAGTCTCACGTTAATGTTTAGCAAGCCCGGGCTGCAGCCCAGCCTCGGGAAGAGCTCGCTGCTATTTTCTGCTCTCTGTGGGCTGTCCCCCGTGTCCCAGCGTGGCTCCGCCTCGGGCAGCGCTGCTTGAGGGCTCGGCTGGATTTGCTGTCACTCCCGCCGGGGCGGGGGGACGCGGGCAGGGAGCAGAGGATGCTCCATTGTCACCGCAGCGTGTGCTCAGCGCGGATGGACTGACCGACACCCTCCTCCTGGCTGGACATGGACAAGCGCGGCTCGTGTGGCTCCAGGATGGCCAGGGGGGTGCTGGCACCTGTGCGGGCTGCCAGCTGTGCCCAGCTGCTCAGCAGGTACGGAGCGTTCCCTGTTGGCACACGGGGTGGTCCCGGTGGTCCCTAAGTCAGGGCACCTGGGATTGGGGTGGGTGGAAGCAAGGCGGATTTCTAGAGGTGAGCAGGCTATTGTGCACTCTTAAAATAGTGCTTTGAGTGCCTTGATCATGAAATGAAACCTGTGGAAATTCCCTTTCTTCTTCCTCATGCTGAGCCTACGAAAATCCCTGTTCTTTTCTCTGTGCTCGCTCTGGGCTGAGTGCAGCGAGCTGGGGAAGTGGGACCTGAGGGGCTGAAATGCTTCCCTGTGACACAGTGTCACCTGCCTTGGGGTCTGCCAGCTCTTCAGGGGTTTGTGCATCTATATGAATGTAAGAATGCTGATTTATCATGCAATTGGTGGAGGATAGAACTGAAATTTGAACTGCTTTCCTTGACAAACACTGTTCTGCTTGTGTGTTTATTGGATATTATATGAGTTAAGAATTCATCTAAGGTGTATTTGCATCAGTTGAGAAGTTTGCATTGAGTTTTAGAACGTTTCCTTGCTGTAGTGGTCAGAATCTGTTGATTTTGGGTGAATATGCTGAAAGTGATTTTACTTCAAATCACAGCTCACATTTTCATGTATCTGTCTTAGTTGTCATTTTTTCCAGTCCAATTGGATGACACTATGCATTCAAAGCAAGACAGAAACTCTTTAGAAGACCCCAGGCAAAATTTGAGTTGTGAAATAAAAAAAATAATTGTAGGGGGACTGACAGAGAAATTATATGGTAAATTACTTTAAAATTACCCACGTGGAAGAGAACGAGATTGAAACCTCCAGTGTTGCAGGCTTTCGTTGATAAAAATCAAAATATTTGTTAAGGACTTAAGGCTTTTGTCAAACGAGTTAGTTGAGTTCCAGTGCCTGTGCTGCTGCCAGAACACCTCTGTGGTCAGCTCTGAGGAGCTGCTGTAGCAGGAACCTCAAACTTGCTCACCAACTTTGCCCCAAACATTGAACCCCAGTCAAGCAGCACTTCCCACCTGCTCGCTCGGGACTCACCACAGGTGAGGTGTCTGTGTGTTTATGTGTAGCTAAGCCTCTTGCCCAGGATTGACCTAAAACTTACCTGTCCAATAGGGCAAGGATATGCCAGCCTGCTTCTAATTAGTTGGCCGTAATCAGGGCTTATTTTTGTTCAGCAACTCTGACATGCTCGTTGAGTTCCCAGTAATATTCCTGTTGGCTTGCAAGGGGCTGGTGGTGCTGCCATGGCCCCAAAACAACACTGAGCAAAAGCCACTGCTGAGCCAGGTCTGCCTCCCTCCTCCTCTTCCTCTCCGTGCTGTAAACCTCGTGGGACCTGGGGCAGCTCTCTCTCACTGGTGGCTCTGGTCTGGCTGGTGACACTCCAGTTACAGAATTGGTTATAAATCCCAGCCAAGGGTTTTTCATGGCAGGGTAAGCCAAGCACATTGTTTTATGTGTAATAACTCTGCTCTGAGAAATCCAAGTGAGGAGCTGATGACTCCTCCCTGTCTTCCTGCATCCCTGAAGCTCTCGTGAGTGAAGCATCGCTGGATTCCAGCACACCTCTCCACCCTCCTTCCCCTGTGCTGCTCAGCACGTCACTCTTGTGGCCTCTCTAGCATCTCTGGGCTGTTCTCATGCAGCTGAGCAACAGCTTGCAGTTACTCATGCTGTGCTCTAATGCAGCTACAGCTGGTAGAATGGGCTAGAAGAAGAAATGGGGCTGACTTCTAGCACCCTGATTTACTCCAAGTTCAACATTTGGGAAGCTGTAGGACAGGTGTTTGTGTGAACCTGTTTCAATAAAAGGCAATGAATGATCACGCAGGAAATAAGTTCAGAGCCTTTCCGTGGTGGATTCAAACAGCTGGCAGCCTTTCCTCTGGAAGCCAAGGGGTCCCTCAGCCCTGGGTCCCTCACTGAGTGTCTGAGGTGTGCACAGGCTGGGCATCTCACTGAAGTGCCAGCAGAGATGGCAATAAAGGAGAGGTGCCTCAGCTGGTGTAACGGGAGCGTGTTTTGAGGATGTGTGCAGTGACTGGGAGCTGTTGACTCATTGGCCTCAGCAGAATCCCTCAGCAGAGTGTGCTCGGGGCTGTGACAGCAAAGGCACCAAAGGGCAGTGGTTCCCTGCCAAAGGGCAGTGATTCCCTGCCTGCTGCTTTCCTTGTGGCTCTCCTGTGATTCCCTGCCTGCTGCTTTCCTCGTGGCTCTCCTGTGCACAGGCTCAGCCTGGGGCAGCTCCTCTATGGGAGAGGGCAGTGGGTGAGGACAAGGTGTGGGAGCTACGGGGCTGTGGGGTTTGTAGCCCCATGCCAGCTGGACTGAGGGGTTTGGGATCCTGGTGCCATGCTGATAGGTGGAATTGGAAAGGCAGAGCAAGTCCTTGTGGCCAAGGACATGGACGTGTGTTTCAATGGACGTGGATTCAGTGGAAATGAAAATAGGGTTAGAAATGCCACCTTTTAATTAATGACTGACATCTAATCATCCTGTAGAGCAGCTTCATCAATTCACAATCACATTAAAAATCCCAGTACTACTGAGGGTTTGTTTTGGCCAGGTACCCCTTTCTCCCAGCAGGATTTCCCTTTGGATGAAAGCCCTTTCCTGTTTGGCTTACCCTGCTAATGCAGGGAAAGTGAGCAACAGGCTCATCCACTGTGACCTTACAGTCAAACACAAAGCCATGCACAGGGAGGATGGGTTGTGTCTTCTGAGGCCAAAACAAGCCCTGGCATGGTGGGACAGACACCCAGCTAATAGTGTAAGCTAAACATGGCTTTGAATATTTTTAATTTGGCTGTATCTGCATGGGGTTATCAATCCTGTTCTTGTTCTGCTCTGAGTTTCAGTCAGAGATGCCTCTAGGCAGATCTGTAATTAAAGGCAACTTTCCCTATTCCTTAGCTTGCTTTCTTAGCCCCTTACTACATGGAGAAGAGACAGATTAATTCCAGATGAAGGCCTGAGACAAGAAAGCAGAGATGGAGTTTCTTTGCCCTTAAATACTTTGATAGAGACACTTTTTATCAGGAAAATTACAACCTGTGCTTTAGTTGAGATCCAAAGCTGTGGTGGAGATAACAGAATCATAGAATGGTTTGGATTGGAAGGTGCCTAAAGATCATAAAGTTCCAAACTGATCCATGGGAAGGGATGCCCAAGATCAGGTCAGGTTTCTCCAAGCCCCATCCAACCTGGCCTTAAACACTTCAAGGATGGGACATCCACAGACTCTCTGTGCCGGTGCTCCACCACCCTCTGGAGTTTGTGCAGCACAGAAAACACTGGAGGTGCCAGTCTGAAGCAGTGGGACACACACAAGCCTCAGGATTCACATCTTCCACTCCACACAGCCCTGGGCAAAGGTTTGCTGTTTGCTTTTTCTGCTGTCTCTGAGAGTGCCAGGACAGGAGGCGAGGCTGTGCCTTCTCACCGCTGCAGTGGAGCAGAGCTGCAGCTTTGGGAATTGCTGCACACACAGAGCAGGATCTGGCATGTCCTCTTTATCACTTGCAGAACTGGCTTCTTCCAAACAACCTGAAATGACGCTGCTCCCCGAGCTGCTTGCATAATGGCAGATCTTGATGAGCTGATTGCTGTGTTACTGAAAACAAGCTGTAATCTTATTAGCAAATTGTGGCACTGCCATCTTAGCTATTCTCCCTGGTGCTGCAGAGACAGACCTTCAACTGTGCCATCCCACGTGGGCAAAGTCCTTGATAAAAAATGCCTTGATGGGGACATAAGTGGGGGTTGGCAGCAGTGCTGGATAAAACAGTCTGGGCTAAAGGCACTGTGACTTCTCACAGGGTGAAACTATTAAATATGTGAGCAAATCTCTGGTCAGAGATATGCAGAGGTACATCAGCAGTAGCAGACTGCTAAATCCAAAATTGCTTTAATTCTGGCTCTAGCTGCTTTGGTTGAGTTAAGGCAGGGAAAGGAAAGCATGGTGAGAGTCTGTTGAGTAAGTTACTGTTCATTGCCACTGCAGTAATTTGATAATTAGCCTCTGTTTGCTTTTATGGCCTGGGCTGAGGCATCTGAACCAGCTATGTGCTTTCCATTTTCTCTCAAGAGCAAGCCTTAGGAGGTCTTTTCTGCATATTGGGGAGAAGGGAGGAATTGGTAGTGGTGTTCATGTACAAAATTTGGGGTATTTTGAGGGCAACTAAGCCAGGCATTAAAGATGTGCAGTAGGGCTTTCTTCTGGTTTAGACCTTTAGTAGAAAAGTTGTGGAATTTTTGTTCATGAGGCATCTCCTGCATAACATTGCTCTCTGTGGTAGGAATAGAGTTTTGTGTAGTTCTGTGCGTCTGAATGAAGTAGTGATTTTGTGTATCTGAATGAAGTAGTGATTTTGTGTATTTCTTGTAAGGTTTTGATAATGAGCAGATTGACTTCTTTCATACAGGAGCCTGTTTTTATACTTGCATTGATAATTTTGATAGACTGAGGTTTAAACCTCCAATAAGAAAAATAGTTACAGCTACATCTATGAAAAAAAAAAGTATATATATGAGTTACTGCTTCAGGATTTTCTCAGTTTTTCAAATTCTCCTGTCTGTTATTCCTGGGTACCTTTATCCCACTACATGGTTTTAAACAAGAAAACTGAGTATGTTATGAACTGTGATTTGCTGATTTTTCAGTTGATTTTTCTCTTCAGAATTAACTACATTTAAAAGCATTTTATTAAAAACATTTCATTATATAAACTGCTTGCTTAGGGTAAGAAACTGGAAGTAACCTGAGGAGAGCCTGCATGGGCTTTTTGGTTGTTTGTTTCAAGTTTTTGCTTTTGTACTCACTCATGAGTTGTTTTTGTCCTTGAAGTAAATTGAAAGCAGGTAGGATGATGTGCATGGTCTGACATTAACACAATTTTGTTCTCTGACTAAGGGTCTTTATCTGTCAAAATATTGCAACTAGTTGATAGACTAATCTCTATCTTTTTTTTTTTTTTTTTTTTTTTTTTTTTTTTTTTTTTTTTTTTTTTTTTTCCTTGCAAGATGGTTACATTCCATGCTCATGGTCTGGTTTCTTGTGAATGATGCTGTGACTTGGTGTGCTACTCCAAAGCTGCTCTTGAGGCTCATTCAAACTTTCTGTCTGTTTCTTTGTTCCATGTGTGCCTTTGTGCTTGCTCCAGATCTTTGGAAATGTCTTTAAAGACTGGGTGCTGCTTGTGTGGCAGGACTGCCTTGTCTGCCTGAATTCTGTTCCTGTTCCCTTTTTCTCATCTTAGTTTTCTGGAAGCAGAAACTGAAAGGAATTCCATTTTCTTGGCTTGCACTTGTTGCCACCTGGTCTGTTTGAAATGCTTGAGAAGGAACCTTTTTATTTATTCATCTGCTAGAGAGGTATTTCAATGAGGGAGGGATGTTGAGCAAGCAGAAAAGAAGCCCAAGCAGCTCCAGGTCCTTTGAGAAACTCTCTCATGGGAGTGATTCAAGCCTGGAGTGAACATAGCAACAGTGTTTATTGTATTTTGGTATTCAAGAGGGCGAAGAATTACATGAGTGTTTGCAACATACTTGCAGTGTGGTGACAGTATCTAGGAACGGATCAAAAACTCCTCTGGGGCTGCGTTTTGCAGCCCAGGGTCAGTGAGCCCCCAGCACCGAGCCAGGCATGCAGGGCTGCAGGGATCCTCGTGGAGGGCACATGGAGAGGGAACAAAACAAACTGCAAGGTCTGTGCCAGCCTAATTCCTCACAACTGGGCTATTGATGCTGTGAAGTCTTAGGCTGAAGGTGCCAGGTGAATCTGGAGCCTTGTTAAAACTGGCTGTGCTCTTAACAAGAGGAGGAATTTGAATTAAGATGCTCAATCTTTCCACAGAGCCCTTCCTGTATGGCTGTCCTTAACAAGATCTTTCTGCCAGTCTCCTTTTGGTTGGGTTAATTTTTAAAGCTTCATAATCTGATGTTTTTTGCTAGGTTGACAGTGCAATGGAGTGAACTTGATTATTCCACCTCCTCTTTGCCCAGTTGCACTGAGCCATTAACATTTTAAGCCAACAATCTCTGCTTTCAATCTCAGCTGTTGCTGTGCCTGAACGTCACAGGCTGCCCTCCACTTGACTCGGGTATGCAATGAGGAAGAACAATCTTTTAGGTGCACTGAATCTAAAATTAGCCTTCCACCTGGGCAGCTGGAGCTGCAAAGCAGTGTGCACTGAGTTCAAGGGGGGAAAAAAAAGGATTTTAGACCAGAAAATAAAATGTTTTTTAAGTGTGAGGGTCTGATTTTTGTTGTCCTGTGAGACAGGAGCAACAGTTCTAGTTTAACACTGGCAGAGCTTGGCCTTGAGTCCTGCTGCCCCTCTGCAGAGCTGCTGTGTGATATCAGCATCCTGCAGCTGGCTGAAACCAAGTTTAGTGCATCAGTAAATGGGGCAGCTGAGGGGAAGAAGAGAAGTTAAAATGGCTCTTGTTTTTTGTTTGGCACACAAGTAGCTCAGCTGTGGCTTTCCTAGAGTAGGTTTATAGTGTGACTGGTGGGCTTTTGGTGCAAACAGTCCAAGAACATCTGTTTTTCCAGCTGTGGAAGGAAGCCAGGGCACTGTGGATGGTGAGAAGCTACACTGATTTGCATCCCACAATCAGAGTGGGATGAGGTGCAGCAATTCCCTCTTTGGCAAAACTCTGTCCTTGCACCAGAACTCTGTGATATGGACTGAAAGTAGACCAAAACAAGCTGCTGGCAGGGGCATAGCCTGAAACCTGGGCTGTGAGGGCTTTATTGTGACCTTTCTCAGGTGTGCTCCAGGGATGTGCCCTAATGCCTTCCATAAATAATGCTCCCCTTGGAATAACACCCCCTGGAATGAAGCTGGCATTCAGAGCCTGGTGCCTGGGTAAGCCGTGCAGATGATCTAAGCCAAGAGCCACCCTTTGGAAAGAGCTGAAGATTTTATTTATTTATTTATTGGCTTGAAATGGTGTTGTTTTTTCCAGGCAGGCATGGGAAGGAGTTGTCACAGCCGTGGGTGACAGAGGTGACACAGAGCACATCTCCTGGTCAGGTCTGGAGCAGGTTCTGCTGGAGCTGCAAGCCTCAATTCTGTTTTGTGTCGATCCCTGGAGATTTCTGGGGCGTTTTGAGCCAGCTCCAAACCAAGCTGAACACAAAGGAAAGGTGCATTTTGGAGGTGCTTCAATCTGTATAACCTGGATCCCATGGGAATATAGGACAGTAACTTAAGGCAAGAGGAGTTGTTTTGTGCCTGCTGCAAACCTGCAGTAGAGCAATTAGAAGAACTTGTAAGATGGTTTCTGAGTGTTGTGCACTTGGAAACTTCAGTGCAAGTTTGTCTACCAGTGTTCCTCATATGGCCAAAACCAACTCCCTCAAAATAATCTGAATTCCTCCTTCCACTTAGTTTCATGTTTCAAGTGATGAGTTCTGTGGACTGGTTCATAATAGAATCCTAGCAAGGCGTTGAAGAGTCTTTTTGTTTAAATCTAATCTTATGAGATGATTGTCAGCAAATGTGAGAAAATGGAGAGGAGTACTGAAGGTGAAGAGTGAAGGTGAGGGATGCAATCTAACTTTTTAACTCCTAATGGGTAAAGGTAGAAGTAAAAAGTTGAAAAGATAAAAAATAAATTGAATTAATAGCTGCAATGGAACTGAGAGAATTTGGCACAAACTTTGCAGGTAAAAAATAAGACTTAGATTGACTATTTAAATGCCCCATCAGGGTATAAATTGGTATCTTGAGTGTTATTTGGGTATCCAGATATAGGAAAGCAGATTGCCTCTGTTCTTGCCTGCTGGGTGGCAGAATAGCTCAGATCAGTCTTTTACTTTTGTCTTCCTGTAAAACAAACAAGCAAACCTCTTTGGTTCTTGTTCTAAACACTGTGCCTGGCTCCAGATGTTCCTGGAGTGATTCCTTTGCTGTGAATCTGACCTCCAGAAGAGAGGGGCTGCCTGTGTGTGTTAGAGTGAGGAGTGTGATGTGCATGCACGTGTGTAAACACAAGTGCAGAGTGGCCTACAATGTTTGTCTCTGTTATTAGATCTTCAAATTAGCTTTTTAAAATCTGAAGTGCTCCTCAACTGAAGCAAGTTAGTGCCAGAACTGCTAATAATGGCTTTGTGGAATGAAAGGGGCTAAAACTTTCCAGATATTTTGCCATCTATAACTTTTGGCTCCTAGAGCTAGGAGGTTAAATAGTATTTCGTGGGTGTTTTGTTGTCATGGTTTTCAAGGTGTAAGGCTTAGACTTGATTTTTTTTTTTTTAAATGAAACTATAAAGGAATTTTGGCATGTGTTTGGTAGGGGTGGCTGTCCATGTGTGTTTCTTGAACCACCCACAGTTAGTGTTTCACCTCTTTAATTTTTGTATTCATCAGTGGAACCACTGAGGTGTTCTCATAAGTATGTTCCACTTACCCCATTTTTTGGTAAGTCTTTGAAAAATAGCAGGGTTTAAATAGCTTGGAACTCTTTGAAGACAATTATAGCTCATTTTAGGAGAGGCACTGTTTTATGAAGTGATGAGAAGCTCACAGCACCGGGGCTGAAAGCTGAATGAGGCCAGTCTGAGACTTCAGCTGTGCATGAATGAATCAGCAGGGTGGTAAGAAAATTCCATATGCTTGGGTTTCCCAGGACACCTCGTGTTGTTTCAGAGCTGAAAAATCTGGTCTAGGCAGGAAAAGGGGGCCTCAGCCCTGTGAGCTGTTTGTTGTGTGAGCTGAAGTGCAGGGGATGGAGCTGTGCTGGGTTTTGCACAGGGAGCACAAACCTGCTGGGTTTGGTGGGAGCTGCCAGGCTCCTCTCTGTGCCAGGTCTGGAGCACACATGCACTGGGCTTGGGACATCCTGGGTGGCTGTGAATGCAGAGATGTCTGTGCAAACTTGCAGGGAGGTTTGGAGTGAGTGTGGGGTGGTAGGTGCTGTGTTGGAGGTCACAGGAGGCACAGCACTGAAAACACTCTGTTGCTCTGTGTCCTCTCACATGTTTGGACAGCAGTTTTCCCCATTCTCTGGGGGATTTAGTCCCAACCTTGTCTGTATTGCTAAACACCAAGCAAAGGAAGTTCAGCACTCACCTCTGTTTGGCTTTGCTGCAGTCATTAATCAGAGGAGGCTGGACACGAATGCCGTGTGTGATCGTGGAGCTTAATCTCTCTCCCCTTATCTCTTCCTCTCTCAGCAGCAGACATTGCCCTTGGAAAATGAACCAGCTTCCTCCAAAGAGTGCTGTGGCATCCCCAGTGTCAGAGAGCACGAATTCCAGGGGAGAGGCTTTGGACAGCTTGTCAATGGACAGTTTTTGGCTGGAAGTGGAGAACATTAAACAGAGCGCTGAGGCCGAGCAGGAGGAATGCAGCCTTGCAGATGTCAAAACACAGGAGGGTAGGTTGCCAAAAATGTTGGGAGTGAGGAGAGGAATGTGGACATCTGAAACAGAAGATTTGCTTATGCACCTGAACGACTCAGAAGCATGCTGGAGTGTGGTTAGAATATTATCAGTCAATCAGGGATAGAGATATTATTTTAATTGGGTGGTGGATAATGCCCTGCAGAAGGGGAGGGTTGGCCTGGCCTGGTTTTGGCTTCTGGAGCAAAGCTGACTCCAAAGGTCAGTCCCAGGAGATGTTCAAGGCTCCAGGGGTTTCAAGCAGCCCCACCAAGGGTGGGGGCTCTCAGTGGCAGCTCAGGTGGTGTAGGGTAAACACTCTGTGAGAGCTGGGGCTGTTTGTGTGCATGGTTCTGAGATTCATCATAGTGGCTTTTGTGGGACCTGCTTCTGTGGAAGGCTGACTGTTCCCTCTCTAATTCCCTGTTCAAAAAACCACAATAAACATCCAGAAAGCCTTGAGTCCTTCCACACAAGGTTTTTCCTGCATATCCTTTTTTCTTTCTTTGGAGGAAATGTGTATGGGTTGTTTCTAATGCACTTTCTGGAGCACTGATGTTATCCAGTGCTTTGGAATAATTGGAACCTGGGCCAGTTATTCCAAAAGTTTTGGGATTGTTTCCCTTCTATAGAATCACAGAATGCTTTGGGTTGGAAGGGACTTTAAACTCATCCAGTGTCATCCCTGCCATGGACAGCTTCCACTATCCCAGGGTGCTCCAAGCCCTGTCCAACCTGGCCTTGGGCGCTGCCAGGGATCCAGGGGCAGCCACAGCTGCTCTGGGCCCTCTGTGCCAGGGCCTGCCCACCCTCACAGGGAAGGATTTCTTCCTAATATCCAACAATTCCCCTCTTTCAATGAGAACCCATTACTCCTTGTCCTGTCACTACAGTTCCTATGAGCAGTCCCATGGGAAGTACAACACCCTGGGTTGCTGGAGGGCTGAAAAGTGCTGATAAACACTCAGAGATCCCACAGGTGGGGACCACACCTTTCTGTGTCCATTTTGAAGAAATTGAGGTGGTTGGCATCCCCTCGAACACAGGTTTGCAGCCTGCACAGCTGTGTGGTATTGAGGATGATCTGTGTCCTGGGGAAATGTTTGTGTGACAATCCCAGTGTGCTGCTGGGTTTGGGAAGGGCCAAAAGCTCTCATGGGGACATAGAGAGGCTCTGGAGAGCAGGGTGGGAATATCATTGTCCCTATCTGCCATCTTTGGCAGGACATGATAAAAATGAAGGTCTGCTGTAAAGTCCCTTTTTATAAAGGAAACAAGTTTGATTTTTAGAAGTGGAAGAGATGCAAAGGGATTCAGAAAATGAGTGCACCAGGAAGTAGACTGGAAAAGAGACCATCCCATGAGATGAAAGACTGTCTGGGATATCCTAAAGACTGATATGCTGGAGGCAATTTGATTACTGTGTACAAGCAGGGATATGAGGAGAAGTCTTTTAATGCTGTAGATTAATCTAGCAGGCAGGAACTGAGTGCTTAATTGGCCATTGAAACCAGACAGGCTTGAAATGATGCTCCAAGTAGCAAAGCCTTCCCAGCAGCCTGGGGAGGGAGGTGGGGCAGGCTGGGGCTCCTGATGCCTCCTCTGAAGGAGCTTAGGCAAATAAACTCTCTGCTGGGAGTGGGGAAGCTTTGGATGGTGTGCAGGGTGCAGGGTTTGGCATCTCTGCAGCTCCTGCTTAGAGCACAGAGGCTGTGGGGCTCCTCAGAGCCAGAGGCACCTTCACTTTGTGCATAAATCTGGGGAGCTGAGAGATGGGCAGCTCTGTCTGGAGACAGCCTGGCTCAGCCTGGAGATGGCTGCTGATAACACAGGGACAGGACAGGCTGTGGAGATAAGGCACTGCAAACACCCAGCTGGGAACACTCCTGTGCAAGCCCTGGGTGAGGAGGGGTGTCCTGGGGAGCTCCTGGTGGCCTGGGGGGCCAGTGTGTAACTACAGGTTTAGGGCAGTGAAAGGTGCTGAGGGTACTCATGGCCTTGCTAACAGTTGGTGGGAGCAGGAAGCAGCTTTTCCTGAAATGCAGCTTTGTGCTGTCCTTGCTGCCACTGTCTGCCCAGCTCTGTCCAGGGCCTGACAGCACAGCCAGCTGAGGACACAGGCACTAAAATACCTGTTTGTGACCTTACAGCATGTACCTGTGGCTGAGAACTGCCTGCAAAGGGGGATTCTTCACCTTCAAACATTAGATAGGAAGTTGTGCTTAATGTTTAGTCTGAAAATGTAGGATGTACTGGCTGTCCTTTAAATATTTGGGAAGTGAATACTTTATAGTGAATGCTATTTTTGACTAGGTTATGTTTCAAAGTGAATTTGTGGAACTGGTGTTCTTTAGTTTTGCAAAACCATTCCAAATCTTGCCCTCCTGAAATTCTGTCTGCCTGGAACTCACAAGGCAAATCTCAGCAGCTCCCCAGGCTTAAACCTGCAGCTCATCTTCTGTGGATCTCTCTGCTCTGACCTGTTTCTCTCCAATTTTTCCCTTTTCTCCAGAAATAACCCATTTTTCTGGTTTCCTTTTGTGTTACTGGCAAACATAACTGGGCCAAAATAGCAACCAGAGGAATTACAATCTGGGGCTTTGGCACCAGCTGGGGCAGCAGGCTCGCACGGATGTCCGATGGAGGGGCTGCTCTGTGGGATTGTGTGCAAGATCAGTTTCCTGTTATGACTGGAATTGGCTATTTTCAATATTTGCAAGCAATACACTTCACTTCCTCTAGTTCCCAAAGGCAAAATAAACCAGAGGCTTTTTGTGTGTTGCTCTGCTGTGAAACCGTGGATGCAGAACAAGGAGGTGTTTGGTGAGGGGCTGTGAGTGGGACCATGACTGGCTGTGCCCAGGGGATGTTGTTATCTGCTAACTTCTGTGAACCAGACATGGGAAAAGACCAAAACTCAGGGCCATGGAGGAAAACCATGCAATTTGCTAGAAGATTCACTTAGGGAAGTACTTGACTTCAAGTTCAGCTCTATTTACTGTGGTGTGATGATGAAAAAAGTTCTGTTTCATTATGACACCAGAAATCACAAAGACCACGCTCTGAAGACTGAGTTTTAATTGTGTCACAACATGTGTTTGCAAGCTGCATCAACGTGAGGTTTCTCCAGAAAAATGAAATTATTTAATCTCACAAGGAGAGCTTCATGGCTGCTTTTTATTGATGCAGCAATAATAAAACTTGGCCTGAGCTGCTGTGGTAACTGAGGAGGTGGAAGTTTGCATAGGACAGGAAGAGTGGGAATGAGCTGCTCTGTGCCAATCAGTTCAGTTGTGAATTTTCTTTTTCCCAGTATAACCTTTGGTAGAGCTGTACTGGAGCTGCCTGTAGTGAATGAATGTGGTAGATGGAATTGAAAAGATAAAGGCTTTGTGGTGTTTGCTGTGTTAAAGTTGAAGTCACCTGCTAAATTGTTTCTTTCATCTTTGAATTTCAAGTAGCTGCCTTGCTCAGGGCACTTTCTCACTTGCACTTCCTTATGAGTGTATCCCATAAGAAAAAAAAAAAGACTTCTGTGTTTGAAGTGTAACTTTATATGTATTGAAGAATGAAGTGGAGTTGAGCTTGTTTGAGTAATGCTGCTGTACTGTCTCCAGGCTTCTCACACTTCCTTCTGGAACTGGAATGGTCTTTAATTTTAGTGATATTTTGAATAGGCCCAAGCATAAAACAAATGCACAGAGTAAAAATAACGTTTTTGCTTTAGCTGAGTGTAGTTTAAGTGCATACCAATCCACTTAAAAAATTAAAGAGTACAGATGATACACACAAATAGTTCAGGAAGTATATTGAGTAAAATACTTTTGAACCTACCAGATCAGGATCTGGATACAGTTTCAAAAAAAAATTGTTGATACCTAGGAATGCATATAGATTAAAAACAGAAAAAGTGAAAGAAGAAACCAAGTTGTTGGGAAAAGTACAAAAGCCAAATGTGCAGTGTTGTGTGCTGTGGCTTCTCACAGACCTTTTGTCCATTCTCAAAGCTGTTGAAGGATCAGGTGGGATCCAGGGAATCCCTGCCATTCCTCCTGGGGTGGCTGTGTGCTGCTGCCAGAGCTCCCCTGCGCACAGGCACTCCAGGGAAAGGCAGATTTATGAGTCCATCTGACTTCACTGCCACAATCCTTGCCTAAATACCCAGAGTGACACTTGTGCCCTCTCCTGCCCAGCTCCTCTGGGAGCTGTGCTCCTGGGAGTATTTCTGCCTCCAGATTTCTTTCTTCTCCTTTTTCCTCACGTGGAATGAGCAATAAGAACTGTGTGAGCAGCTACGCCTGCCCAAGGAGCTGCGTGAACTCTGGTGTCACCCCATACCCAGCTGGGCACTTAGGATTAGGGCTGAGATTCTGAGAGCAGCCTTCAGAACACAGCTGTGGCTCCCTCCCATGATGTCCCACTGGGAACAATGGGACAATCCCAGCCAGGGAACAGCCCAGGCTCCTGCTCTCTGCCCCTGAAGCACTGCAAGAATCCCAGAACTAAAAAGAGGAGGTGTTCAACATGGATGTTGCCTACTCAGAGCAAGCAGCTGTCCTGCTCAAGGGATCTTTCCTGTCTGAATCCAGGAAGTTAAAGGATGGAAGTGCCCTAACAGTAAGCACTGGAGGAGATTTTCTTGTTGGAATTTATCAGTCTTGGCTTATCAAGGTGGTACAAGGCGACGAGTCTGTGCTTGGTGGTATTTTGGGGTGTGCTGTTATCTTTGCAACATTGGGCAAGGATAGACATTGTGTAGAGGAGGATCAAAAGAAATAATGCTTTTATCTGAAAATTCCTATTTTGGCACACATCCTTGTAGTTCCCTCTGAGAAGAGGAGAGTCACTAACCGCTGCTCCCTCCTCCCTGTGCCCTGGCAGAGGGAGAGGCCGAGGCCGAGTGGCTGCAGGACGCGGGGCTGGCCGAGCTGCTCGGGGAGCCGGCGGGGGACAAGGACAACCTGGTGCTGCTGTCCACGCTGACCAGGACGCAGGCGGCGGCCGTGCAGCGCCGGCTGGACACGTACTCGCGCTCGCGGCGCAGGAGGAACAAGCACCCCGTGCGCGACGTGCGCGACATCTTCGCTGCCAGCAGCTCCCAGGTGCGTTGGTGTTGGTATCCTGGCACAGGGGTTCCTTACAGCAAAAGTTTCATACTTTCTTGGTGTTTCTCATGGGCATCTCCTCAGAGCACTGACTCTTTCGTCTTTACAAAGTAGCCAACTGACTCACTCCATCCATCCATCCATCCATCCATCCATCCATCCATTGTCATTTATGGCACTCTTCTCACTGGGCACAGCTGTGGCCTGTTAAAGTCAGGCCTGCTCCTAATCTTTGATAATTGGCCCAGCTGCAACTCCTTAGAGATAAGATTACTTTCTACGCTGTCTTTATTTTGTTATATTCTATCCCCCCTACATGTTGACATCTCCTAAAAGAGCTTCTTTGTTGGGAAGGATGAAAGTTTGACAAGAAAGTCTCACAGATATGTATACTTAGCAGAAAGGTTTTTGAATGTAGAACATGAAGAAGGGACAGAGATGGAAGCAAGTTTTGATAGAGAAGAAAAGAATTGCTGAGCCAGTCTGACTGGATACCCTTTGTCTCCTTGGTTATGTTAGTTAGAAGCGGGGTTTTATGGCTTAGAGCAAAGGATAAACCCACCTCAAACAAGATGTTTTTACCAAGCACAAAGATAGCACAGGCAAACAAGTCAGCAAAGTTGCAAGTAGAAAAAAGGTCTCAGAATTTTCCACTGCAAGAAAACTGAAAAACAACTTCTAGCTGAAACTGTAATGTACTGACTTTTAGTGACTGGAGAACAGTAGCATGAATATGGTAATTATAGTACTTATGATAGGCTGTAGGTAAAAATTAAGGTATAGATTGGTTCTACTGTATGAAGATGCTCAGCAAAGAAAAGTCTATAATGCATTGTAACCAAAACCAAAGGGTCTCCAGGCCTGCCTGCAGCTGGAGCTGACAGCTGTAGGCACAGCTCTGTCACCCATGGTCCTGGATGTAACATCTTGGATGGAATAAACTGCATTTTGTATATAATAAACTGCATTTTGGAGAGCTGCATGGAGTCCCACATCCCTCATTTCAGCTCTTACACTTCTTGACTCTTCAAGTCAAGCAAGTGGGGCTTGACTTGGCTTCCTGGGTCTGGGGCTCTTATAGCAAATCAAAGGTAACTCCCATGTTAGTGAGGAAGAGAGAATGATACATCTGACTCCATGGATATCTGAAGGCTAATTAATTACTTTATTATACTATTTAATTCTATACATCTAAAACTGACTCTGCCAAGCACTCAACCCTGCACACAACTGCTCACACTGCACTGAATCTCGTGACTGTCACCGGACAGTCCCAACACACACACACACACCTGGCCAAGGAAACAAAATGTGCTCACTTTGGGTAAGCAATTTCCATGTTGCATTCTACTTTGGCACAAACACAGGCACAGCAAATGTTAAGAATTGTGTTTTCTTTCTCTGAGGTTCAGAGAATGTGAATCCCAGAAATATTCTTGGGAAGAATTGTGCCTTGCTTTTCTCTGTGAGGAGAAATGTGGCTACAGGCTCCTGGTATGTCTTGGCTTCCTTTCACTTCAAGAGATTGAGACTGGAGAAATGCTGGTTGCAGTGTTGAGGAGTTACTGGAGGACCTGCAGATGCACAGCCCTCCCAGGCTGGAGTAACATTCCTGCTCTATAGTGCCTGGTGGAGCACTGGCATCGTTTGGAGCCCTCTTGTGTTGTCTTTGTTCCAGTGTTAAATCACCATTAAACAAAACAAGAGCACTTCCCAAATTCAGTTCTGATAACCTGACCTTGCAGAGGCGGAAATCCTGGAGAAAGACTAACGCTGCCTTTTTGGAGGGGAGGATTGTTTTGTTTATTTAGATTTTTTTATCTTTTTAAAAACTTGATAAGGAATTCATAACCACCATCTTTTCAGCTGTTTTCCTGCAGTACTGCTCTTTTGATTGTGGCTAAAACAACCTTCTTATTTTTCAGGACACAGCAGCAGAGAAAGAGGAGTCCAGCACAGATCCACTGTGGCATAATCTACGGACTTCAAACACCCAGAGAAGTAAGGGAAAAGTTTTTTAAATGCAGAGTAGGATCTGAAGTAGGGCTGGAGCTGGAAGGAAACCCACACACATATTTAAGCATATACAGTATCTGAAACTTGCTTGTGTTGGGGTGTGGGTTTCTTTATGTGGTTATTCACACCTGTGGATTTATAAACTTTTCCAAGGTCCATCATTGTTAGAATTGTCACTCAAGCTGATCATTGTAAGTTCTTGATAAAGAAACTGAAATATGAAAATAAAATCAGTCTAGTAAAGCCAGTGAAACCTTATAAATGCCATGAGCAGTTGTGTAAAGAGAGGTTAGCCATAGGTGTGTCCTTTAATTTAAGGCTGTGGTTTTGCCTTACCAGTGACCTGGTAATTTCAGCCATAATGCTGTGACTTCACACAGATCATAGACTCATTAAACTTGGAAAAGTTCTCTAAAATCACAAGTCCAACCACTAACTCAGCAGCAGTGCGTTCACCACTAAACCATGTCCCCAGGTGCCACATCTGCATGATTTTTTTAACCCTTCCAGGGATGGTGACTGCACCACTTCCCTTGGCAGCCTGTTCCCACGTTCCAATGCTTGTCCACCCTTTCAGGGAAGACTCTTACCCTACAGATCATTCTGTTCTATGGGGACACTCTTTTCATGTGTTACTGCCAGATTTTTAAAATCAATGGCACCAAACCCGTCTCAAACTGCATTTTTGGCACATTTGCTTTCCTGGCTTGCAGAAATTCCAAATAATTTCTCCTCTGCAGCAGAAACCCAGGATTATCCCTGCACAGTTCGAAACCCTGGGAAGGAGGAGGTGTTCAACATGGATGTTGCCTACTCAGAGCAAGCAGCTGTCCTGCTCAAGGGATCCTTCCTGTCTGAATCCAGGAAGTTAAAGGATGGAAATGCCCTAACAGTAAGCACTGGAGGAATTTATCGTGTTGGAATTTATCAGCCTTGGCTTGTCAAGGTGGTACAAGGCAATGGGAATGTGCTTGGTGGTATTTTGGGGTGTGCTGTGCTGTTATCTTTACAACATTGGGCAAGGATAGACATTGTGTAGAGGAGGATCAAAATAAATAACACTTTTATCCAAAACTCCCTATTTTGACACATATCCTTGTTGTTTCCTCTGAAAAGAGGACAGTCATTAAGTGCACTTTCTTACTTATAATTCTAAAGTTTTCTCCTCTCTGCAAATGAATTGCTCTTTAATCCAAAATTCAAGTAGATTGGGGTGGGTATCAGGCTGCCTTTAACTTAGAAAAACTGGCATCTCTAGTATGATTAAAGAGCAATATTGGAAAGGGAAAATATTTATTCAGCTGGTGGTTGAGTAGGAGTAGTTATGGGCATATGTCTGGTCTTGAACACAGCAGGAAGAACAGATGCCTGGTTATGATTAAAAAAAAATAAGACTACAGCAAAAGTTGTTCATTTGTGGCATTAAGAGAGATAACTTGAGCTGAATCTTTTGTGTGTGTTTCCCTTAGAGATTTAAGATCCCGAAGGGCAGACTAGGAGTGACCAGGATTGGAGATCTGTCAGCTCAGGACATGAAGAAAATCCCCACACTGGCCCTCATTGAGCTTACAGCTCTCTGTGATATCCTGGGCTTTGAGCTGAAGAGAAACAAAGCAGCAAAACTGAAAACAACAGGTTAGTTATACTCTTTTTTGTGCTTTTTTATGTTTTTTACATTCATTTTCTCATCATACACTCATCAGTTGTGTTTCAAATGTTAGAACAGAGGGTCTTTGATAAGAAACCTTGTGAGAGGTGTGTTTTCTTTGGATTTCTTCTGGAAGTCAATGGATCATGACATCAAGACCTACTACCACATTTATGTCTGGCTGCAATTGTCCTGTTTAACTGTCTTTCTTCCGTATCTGTGTACCATCTTAGTCTGCAGTGGGGGATTTATCCCTTACACCTCTATTGCAGCTGAGGCCGAAATGTTGAGACAGACTTGGAAATGTTGTTTTTGTTGTAGAGAAAAGACTCTTTGGAGTTCCACTCAACACCCTGTTGGAAAATGACCAAAAGCTGCTGCCCAACACCAAGGTCCCTCTGCTACTCCAGGCAGTAAGTTCTGTGCTGGTTTCATTCACACCTCTGGTCCTCAGAGTCAGGAGGCTGTGATAGAGACAGGCTGACTCCTCATCCTCTATGCCTAAGAGCTTTCTGTTTTCCCTTCTAACAGCTGCTGTCCTGCCTGGAGAAGAGAGGGCTTGAAACAGAGGGCATCCTGAGAGTTTCTGGGTCCCAGACCAGGATTAAGGTATGAGCCCTTTAGCATTGTTTGGAAGTGTCAGGGGTGATCAGGAAACATTTGCTGAAGCAAATGTTTGACCTGAATTATCTCATCCCTTTCCCAGTACAACCACAAACACCCAATGCTAGGAAATACTGCAGTGTGTGCTGATGTCGCAGACAACTTTTATGAAAAATCCTTTCCTTAGGATTTTTCCTCCTGAGAAGCTGACAGGCCTCAGGAACAAAATGTAAACAATAGTTATCTGCTGCTGTGGAATGCAACAGGTGCATCTGTGATTGGTCCATGTTGGTTTGTTTGTAATTAATGGCCAATCACAGCCCAGCTGGCTCGGACTCTCTGAGACAGAAGCTTTTGTTATCATTCTTTTCTATTCTATTCTTAGCTAGCCTTCTGATGAAACCTTTTCTTCTATTCTTTTAGTATAGTTTTAATGTAATACATATTATAAAATAATAAATCAAGCCTTCTGAGACATGGAGTCAGATCCTCTTCTCCTCCCCAATCTGAAAACCCCTGTGAACACCGTCACATGCTGAGGCTCTCTGCACCATTTTACCTCAATGTCTCGCCCTCCCAGTGCTCAGCCATAAAATTTCTCTCACATTTGCTCACTAAAGCACGCGATAAATTCCATCTTTCTGCTAGAGCCTGGAGCAGAAGCTGGAAAGGGATTTCTACAGCGGGCTGTTCCGCTGGGATGATGTTCACCAGAATGACGTGTCGGGGCTGCTCAAGAGGTTCATCCGCGAGCTGCCGGCCCCGCTGCTGACTGCAGAGTACCTGCCTGCCTTTGCTGCTGTTCAGAGTGAGTGCCTGCCCTGCCTGCCAGCACCACTTTGGGCTGTGCAGAGCTGCCCTGGCAGGGGTGCTGGGAGCCTGTGGTGATGGGAGCACAGCACAGCTGAGGGTTGCAGTCATTGCAGTTGAATGCGCCTTTCTGCAGCAGCGCTGCACTGGGGGCTTCAGCTCTGTGTCACTGCAGCCTGCAAGGTTGCTGCATTTGTCAGGACAGATTGATCAGTAATGACACACAGACTGAGCCGTGGGAGCTGGCCAGGGCACACAGCCTGCAGGTAATGTGCTGCTCTGCAAGCACATTTCTTTGTTCACTAGTGGGATAAATAGAGACGAGCTGAACCTCTTATGTGTGTGTTCCCCTTAGAGATTTAAGATCCTGAAGGGCAGACTAGGAGTCTGGATGTGTTAATCTTGAGTGCACAAGTTCTTTGTTCAAAAAATGGGGAATTATGCGTTCTTTTGCTGTTCTTCAAGAGCATGAGGGCTGCTGGTTGATTGTGTACCCTAAAGGAAATGAGTCAGTCTTCAAAAACATGAGTAGTTCCCTTCTTAAGGGCAGTATGAGTTTCAGTTGCTTCTGTGAAACAAGGTCTCAAATTCTAGATGGCCAACCATTCAACACGTAATTGTCTCATTCCTTGGAGCATTCCTGTGCTCAAAAAGAAGGGTCAGAAACCTGAATCCTCTGTCCTGTTGTTACTCTCCTTCTAGATATTCCAGACCTGAAGCAAAGATTGCAAGCTCTAAACCTCCTGATCCTGATTCTGCCAGAGTCCAACAGAAACACTCTGAAGGTAACTGCTTGCTTTTGATTTAGCTGGTAAAACACAGAATCACAGAACTGTTTAGATTGAAAAAAAAACCAAAACTTTCTTAAAATCATTGAGTCCAGCAATTCCCCCAGCACTTCAGGGTGATCACTAAGCCATACCCCCAGCTTCATGGCTTTTAAATAGTCACCACCTCTGCCTTTCTGTGCTTTATAAGAGCTGTGGTGGTTGTTGCTGCCTTTTTTCTTTTCCTCCTGAGTAGTTCAGCTCCCAGATATTAAAGGTAAGGCTGACTTAGCACCCTGCACTCTTCATTTAGAGCATTGGAATATATAATTCAGTCAAAGATGATCTGTCATGGCTCTGGTGGTAGTGTGAGGTGAAAGGGATAATCCAAAAGGGTTTGTTTTTCCACATCTGGGAATGGCTTTGAGAGGACACTGAAGGAAAGAGGGGGTTAATCTTTGAATTCAGAAACTTTTACAGCTACAATTTATAAATTACCACCTGCCAAGGAGTAAAAACTCATCTGTTTCCAACACAGACTGTTTTTCCTGATTCAGAAATACTGGATAAACCTCTCTTGGTGTGGTTATTAGTTGCTATCCTAGTATTAGAAATTGGTCACTCCACTTCCTGACTGGAGAAATAGGATTTGCTGATCTAAATCAAGAAAAAGTGCTGATTAATGATCTCTCCCCCAATTGCCATGGTAGTTTTTTGAGCATTACTAGTCTTGGATGGCATTACTAGCATACATTTTTTGAGCATTACCAGTAATGGATGGCTTACATCTCTTTCCCTCCTCTCAGGCCCTTCTTGAGTTTCTCAGCAAGGTGGTTGCCAGGGAAAAAAACAACAAAATGAACCTCTGGAACGTTTCCACAGTCATGGCCCCAAACCTCTTCATGCACAAGGGGCTGCCAAACAAGATCCCCGAGGGGAAGGAGAAGCAGCTGGCGGAGGGGGCGGCTGATGTGGTGCGGATGATGATCCATTACCAGGACCTGCTCTGGACTGTGAGTTCTACAGCAATTTGGTGGTCTGGGGCAGCAGTGCCTTGATCTTGTTAGAATTGGGATAGGGAAGGGATAGCCTTGAAAATTTCAGAGGAATTACACATCTGTGAGCAAAACCTCTGGCTGAATTCCAAGGCTACCTAAAGGTACACAGATTTTCTTGTCTATTTACGGAGCTAAAGTGATGATCAGGTTCCTAAATGGCATCCTTATCTCTGCTTGATTTAATTCCTGTTTTCACCCTTCTCCCCTGCCCAGGTCTCCTCTTTTCTGGTGGCTCAGGTGAGAAAGCTGAACGAGAGCAACAGCAGAAGGTACCAGTTCTGTGACAAGCGGATCAAAAATCTGCTGCGCAAGATTCACGCTGATAAAGACAAGGTGGAAAAGAACCAGGGAGAGGTGAGCTAGGGCTTGGGGAAAAACCCAAACCCCTGTGTATCAAATGTTTAACTGAGAACTCAGAAAGATGAAAGGGGTGATACCCTTGAAAAGAGCCAGAGGGACAATAAAAAGCTGAATAATGAGGATCAGTTTCCCAGATGCTTTTGGCCAGGTTGTGGCAAAACCTGATCTCAACAGCAAGAGCACTAAATGCATTGCTGGCTGCAAAACACTTAGTTAAGAGCAGGGAAGAAATCAGGAGCAGAAATTTTGTTTTTCCCCATGTTAAGAGCAGAATTCTTGTGGCTCTAAGTGTCCCATGTGTTGGAGCAGATATGTCTACTGTGATAAAGGCAGATTTTTTTTCATTTTTAAAGCATAAATTCAGGCAAGTGCCTAATTTTCTTTTTGCTCTACAACGTCTGTTAAAATGGCACATCACTTGGTGCTTCCTTGCTTTGGAAAGGACCTTTCTGAAATTCAGAGGCCTGCAACCCAGATCTCTAAATTCCTTTCCAAGTAATTTAAATGAATTTCAGAAGACTCATTCACACTCGTGCCAAACAGTTTGTCAGAATTTCTTCTGACAAATCCCATTCTCATCCCAGCTTGTGTCAGTGCTGTGTTTGAACAGCAGAGAGCAGCAGCACACCCTGATGGGGAGCACAGGGCTCCTCTCGTGGCCTCAACACAAAACATTGATGATTTATTCACAGTGCTTACCTTGGTGCTTCCATTCAATCTGTACTGTAAGAAACAAGCCTAAATTCTTGTTTAATTCTTCACACTCTCCAATCTATTTTGAAAATTAATGTTTTGGCTGATGAGAGTCTTCCTTTAAGCACTTTTTTTCTTTTTGCCTGCCTTGTTCAGCCTTCCAAGGTTGTGAAAGTCCACGCCTCACTCCTCCTGAAGGACTCTCTGGAGGTGCACTTGAACAATGCAACCAGGGTTGCCGATGTCTTGAGGCAGTTTCAGAAGAACCTGTGCCAGAATGGCTGGAATATTGTTAACACTGTCAACCTCCTCAAATGGTAAATGGCTTTTTTTTCTCTATTTAAAAAAGAAAAAAGGACTGAGTGGTCTGGCTGCTGTTTTCTGTATTGAGGTGGAGGTGAGGTGGAAGCACAGCGAGTCATGAGGAGAGATTGTTCCCTGTTCTAAGTTTAGAAAATGATGCTGGATGGGGAAGGCAGATTTTATTCTGAGTGATTCCACCCAGTGCTCAGGCTGTCAGGAGGTCAGTGGTGCCCTCTGGGCTGCTGGACATCAAGTGAACTCCAGAATCCTTGCTGAAGGGAAGGGAAAAGGCAACAACATCAACCCTGACAAGCAAAACCCCCTGCAGCTCCCCTGCACAAAAGCATCACCTGTATCGCTGCCTGGAGTAGTAATTCCAGTGTGCTTCTGTTAATGTAGGGATTTCCTAAAATAAACTCTGCAGTTCCCTCCTGTGCTTCTGTGGTGAATTGCTGAACTAACCCAGAAAAGGAGCAGAGGAGCTCCTGCCCCTGTCCCAGCTCCTGCAGGCTGTGTTTGGTGGGTGATGTGGCAGCGCCTCTCCTGTGTCCCAGAGGTGTCCAGGCCAGGAGGGCGAGGGGAAGTTGGCTGGATATGGGTCAGCTCACCAACAGCTTGCCTTGTTTCCTTTTTTGCCAATTTTGGGTGTCCTGCACTGTGCATGGGCTCTGTCTCATGGCTCTGATCATTGCTGGCCTCTGAACCACAAACAACCCTTTTGAAGGAATATTACTAAACCACCCAACCTGTCTTTGCAGAGATTTAACCTTCAGTGTGGTTTTCTTTCTGCAGTAACAACTCCACAGAGTGCACAAACCTGCTCCTGTATGAAGTGGGAGGCAATATTGGTAAGTACAAATAGCACCTGAAATAAGGACTCTGATATCCAGTTTTTATGCTTAGCTTCTTTTAGGAGGTAGTTAAAAAACTTCTCTGGGCAACTGTGCCATGGTCTCACCACCCCAAGGCTGAAGAATTTCCTCCTAATATCTAATGTACATCTTCCCTCTTTCCTCTCAAAGCTATTGCCTCAGATTTGTGGAAATGCTTCTGAAAGATAATATGGAAATGAATGTGAACAAATCCTAGCTTTTAGGTGGGGGCAAAAGCAAACAAAAACCAAATCTAGCAGCTAAAGGACTAAGGATATTTAAAAATGTGGGTTTTTTCTTGTTTTAACAGGTGAACATTGCCTGGACCCAGACACTTACCTCTTGGACTTGTACCACATCAACCCCCATGCTGAGTGGATAATTAAGCAAAACCCATCTTGTCCTCGGATGTTTTAAGGAAAACACGAGCAAAACAAAGCCCTTGGTTGCAGTGTTTGGAAGGCGTGGAAATAGAGACTTTCCTGTTGTAGTGTCAGAGCAGACACTGCTTGTTTCTTGGGAGGAAAAGCACCTTTACTGACTGCTTCCATGGCAGCTGCAGTGAGAGCACAGTGGCCTGAAACAAACAGCAATTATCATGGTGTAGCAGAGTTTGCAGGGGGAATTTAGTTTGTTTAGGCTGCTCCTAAACAAAATATCCCCCCCAAAAAAACCCTGAAGGCAAAGCTGCAGTGGTTGTGCAGCAAAGATGGAACAGAAGAAGAAAAAGATAATCTTGAATATGGTGGAAGGCATTTGTCTATCCTGGATTTGCTCTTTTTTTGGATGAGAGACGGTCAAATGCTGCAGTGGTACTAAGGACATCCCTTGGGTAAGATCCATGGTTGCCTGTGGCATTTCACCAGAAGAATTCATGATCCTGGGCTTATTAAGGTCCTGTTCTGTTCTTTGAAGAATGAAAAAGGATGTTTCCAAAAAGGCCAGATGGGATGTGACACCAGCACATCATGTATTTCATGACTGCAGTTAAATACATACTTGCAACACAAAAATAGAGCTTTCCTTGAAAAATGTATGGAAAATGCAGCAGCCTTTCAGATGTGCAGTGTGACAGGAAGGTGCCTGTCCCATGCTGGTAATGCACACCCAAATTGCCACTGATGAGGGTCAAACATGCATTTATTTTGATGGACAAGCAAAATATCAACAGACAGCACAGGAAATATGCTGAAGCTGATGTGACGTTGGTAATCTAACCTGGCCACATGAACTGGACTTCTTTCTGGAAGATTCTGTGTGAATGTGTTTGTTCAAAATCAACAAACTCCCCTGAGCTGTGAGGTGGCTGAGCTGGGCTGAGCCCTCCCTGCTGTGGCTGCACATTCCCATTGCACCCAGCACAGCCTGGGCACTGCAGGCTGGACAGTGAGGGCAGAGCAGGACACTCACACCTGCTGCTGCATCTTCATCATCATCATCATCACCATCATCATCATCATCATCATCATCATCCAGCCTCAGCTCCAGGAGCACCCTGCCTGTAAGGAGGGTGCAGAAGTGTTGCTTTCCTTCGTGGTGATGCTGAAATACCTCACGTGAGGGACCCCACAGTGCAGAGTGAGAGGTGGAACACCCAGACTGTCTGGAAATGTGGACTCCTTTCTCTAAATACTGTTTGTTGCAAACATGGTTGGATATTTATTCATGTGACAGAAGCAGGGCTGCCCTGTAAGTGTGTACTCAAAGTATTTCATTTGCCAAATCCCAGCTGCACTAGTGACAATCTCCAGTATTATTTCTTTTGTTAGAGGAGTTTGTTTCCATTGCAATCTGAATTTTCCCTCCTTTTTTTGTCCCCAGGATGAAGTTTAGCTTTCTTTATTCATTGTCTCAAACTCCTAGATCCTGTTCTTCATTTTGTGGTTATCCTGTTTGTGTGGTTAAATCCTCTTGGTGGTTGAGATCCTTGAGGAACAGGTGAGCCACAGTCCAAATCCTTTCCAGAATTCTGTGTGAGTGGTGCAGATATCTTAAAATTATTCATCTATTAGAGAGTGTGTCGATTCTTTTTTGGTTGAGATGATGCAGATGCATTGACTGGCTGGATCACCTTCATGGATGTCTTCTTAAGAACCTGTGATAGAACCTCTCAACCCTCCCCCAGGTGTCAACAATTCTTGAGATGCCTCTTTTATAGGGCTTAAATTGTGCCTGAAAGAGCCTGATTCTGAGTGAGCGATTGATGTCTCTGGAAAGATCAAGCTGCTTGAAACTGGGGCTTTAAGAACCAAAGGTACCTGTCCAACATCCCTTCTGGAATTCTTTGTGGCAGTGATGGAGTAAAGATGGCAAAGAGGAAATGCCAGAGATGTGATACCCTGAGAAGTACCAAAGGTATCACTCTGAGCTCAAAGTTCCTTTGCACTCTGCAAATCACACAATGTTGCATTTTTCCACCCCTCATGTGCTGGTTTATTAAATATTCTGTCCTTGTGTATTCAGGGTCAAGACTGCATCACTGCTGCTGTGAACTGCAAATGAGTGTGGTTTTTTGGTCACCAAACAACGTGAATCAGTGCTGTGAAAAACAAGGTTAATGGGAGATTCTCATGAGACAAATATCAGGTTTAAATATAAAAAGAAATGTTTAAAAAAAATAAAACAAAACAGCTCTTTCCAGATGATGGATATGCTTTTAAATTTTTTTTCCTATCTTTGTATCAAAAAGTGTAAATTTTTCAGTCAATGATGTGCAACACACTCCTGAAGGATGGCTTTTAATACCTTTTTTATGATTTTTTAATTCTGTATTTAAATTTCAGTTATTCAGTGGAACAATAAAAACACAGTAAAACCTCCTGGCTGCATTTTCATTAGTGCTGGAGAACAAATTAAATGGCAGCACATCTGTGAATGCAGCAGGATTTGCCTTGTGCCTGAAGAGGGATGAAGAGGGTGAGTTTTGTGTTACAGCTTCAGGAGCAGCTCCTCTCTGGCTGGTCCTGTGGCATTGCTGCAGAAGGATGCTCCAGAAGGAGGAAAAGCAGGTTGGTGTTGGGTATGAAAAGCCCAGGGAAAGGTGGATGGGAGCAGAAGGGGAGCACCAAGGACTTCTAAAGGAAGAGGAGCAGTGGTTCAAGATTTCAGCTTGAGGAAATGTGTCCAAATCCTGTGAGAAATTGTCACAGACAACTTTTATAAAAAAATCCTTTCTTTAGGATTTTTCCTCCTGAGAAGCTGAGAGGCCTCAGGAACAAAATGTAAACAATGATTATCTGCTGCTGTGGAATGCAACAGGTGCATCTGTGATTGGTCCATCTTAGATGTTTATAATTAATGGTCAATCACAGTCAGCTGGCTCGGGCTCTCTGTCCGATCCACAAGCCTTTGTTATTCATTCCTTTCTATTCCTAGTTTAGCTAGCCTTCTGAAGAAACCTTTTCTTCTATTCTTTTAGTATAGTTTTAATATAATATATATCATAAAATAATAAATCAAGCCTTCTGAAACATGGAGTCAGATCTCCATCTCTTCCCTCAACCTAAGACCTCTGTGAACACTGACACAAGAAATCCCCTTCCCACCCCTCAGTCCTGCTCAGCTCAGCTGTGCTCAGGGGCTTGGAGCAGCCAAGAATAGCAGGAATCCAGCCTGGATCTTTGGTTAAATCACAGCTACAAGTGTTCAGTAGTGATGAAATGAACCACTGGGAGCTGTTTAAGAGCAGTGCAGGGTCCTGTCCAGCAGTGCTGCTGGAAAAGCAGGGCTTGCTCCCCTACCCAGACACAAAAAGAAAGGGGGAGGAGGATCCAAGCAGCTTCAAAAAGCTTCCAGAGCAATTATCTGAGGAAAACACCAGTTTATCAAACTCACCCCACCCATTCATCTTCAGCAGTATCAAAGTGCTAATCTCTCCCATCCCCAAGGGCTTTTGTGATTGATCATTACACAGCTCTCCCCTGCTCAGAGCAGGAGCCCAGGATTTATTCTGAATGCAGCTGTATGTTGTGCTGAGATAAGGGACAGAGCATAAAAGAATCTTGCAAATGTTGGTTGAATGTAGTTGTGGATGAAGTGGAACTGAAATATCAAAATAATAATAATGATTTTTAAAAAGTAGTTTGCCTTAAGTATTTGCAAGAATACAAAGTATTCACAGGAATAAGTGAAGCTTCAGCTCTTGGAGGGAAATGTCACAACTAAATGCATTTCCTGGAGCAAAGTAAGTGACAGCAACTATTGTTGTCAATAAAATACAACTACATTTGATTAAATCTATTTCTTTACCCCCATGCACTCCCCAGTGCTGAAAACAAGACAAATGACATCAGTGGTTTTGCATGCTGAGAGGATGGAACTCAAGTTCTCACCAAATCCTGTTTGCACATGAGGGCTGCACGTCTTCATTGTGCGGGGAAACAGAGGCTGAAGCTCACTGTTTTAAGTCACTGGAAAAGAAAATGTGCAGCTGCACTGCCTTACCAGCTGGGAAAGGGCCTGGGCTGTCTCTAATCCCTCCAGTCTCAGGTTTGTGTGGGGTTTTTTGTTGTTTGTGGTGGCAGAGCAGCTTTGTGCTGGCTGTCCTTCCCCAGGACAGTGTGATTTGGTGACCTCCCCTGCCAGAGTCCTTCCCCACATCTGGACCAGGCAGGATCTGCTGAGCTCAGGGGGTTGAACCTTTCCCTCCACACTAAGCTCTGCTCTCCAGCTCTGGCCAGGGGCTGACCCAAGGAATGGGAGTGGAGGAAGGTGTTCCTTTTCTCCTCAGTCCTTGGAAGGGGTGATGTTTGCATCTCTGTGACCATCTTGGTCCTCTGCACTTTTCTAGCTGGTGAACTTGCAGGGGTAATTACCTGGAGAGAGGAGATAAAGCAGAAAAAGAGGAAGAAACCCAGCAGAAATGCAGGGCGTGGGTGTACCTCTGTGGGTTGTGTGTCATTTTGTTTGTTTTTCAGGGTTTGGAAGAGACACAGATGAACAGGAATTCTGCTGCACTCTCCTCACTCATCCCAAACCTTGCTCTTGGCAGGCTGTAGTAGAGACCTGCTTCAGAAATTCCCTATCTTGTGCAGGATGAGGATGACAGGTTGGTTTTCCCTTGCTTTCAGCTTTTACCAGCGTGTCCTTTCTGTGCTGGAAGGGTGAGGTGAGCCCTCAGTGCTGAATATATTCCTTGTTTGTCCAGGTGTGTGGATGGAAGCTCCCAGCTGAGCACAAACTCCATGCCTTGTATTGAAACTTAATTTTTTAAGCCTTACCCAGAGCTTTAGAACTCCCAAGGAGTGTGGCTATCTGGTGTCACCTCCTACCTCAGCTTTCTGCATGTGCCCAGTCAGTGCAGGAGGAAAGAGCCACCCTTACCTGCCCTGGTGACACAGCTCAGCCTTCTCTGGACACAAGCACACCACAAAGTGCAATAATTGCCTTTTACTTACAACAAACTGGCAGAGCTGTCT